GGTCATTTATTGCTCAATCTATGGCAACTTCTCTCTTTTTACTAAAGAGAAATATGCTATGATCATGCAGTTTATGCTTCAGGAAAACCCCAACTTACTTAAGCTTACCTTAAACAGACTTGAGTCATACTTTGTGTTACAAGTAACATCAGTCATATGACCCCCCTATCATTTTCCCTTCATTCTCACCCTCACCTGCTACCAGCTTGCCCTCCTCTACCAACTATCTGTTGACCAGATCCTCAGGACCATTTCCATTCCTTGTTTCTCTCCTCTCACACCAATGTATGCATGTGCCTTCAGACTATGACTCGTCCTTATTCATGCCACTAATATAGCTTTCCTTTTCTATCTCTTTGACTCATGCCTGCTGCGCATTGTATTCTTACCATTGGTTCATTCTAACATTTCTTAGTCTCATTCCACATTTGATCATCCATCACTAATCTAGGCTATGTTGCAAGTGTACCTATACCCCTTCTATTTCCTCTTTACCTTTGCCTATAGTACAGTAACCCAGCCCTTAATTTTTTCCACTTAGTATAAGTAGTCAGTCACCTTATACTAGATTCTCTAACTTGAATCTACTCAATCTTCCCTCAAACATACTTCTCTCTGAAGCCTCTCAAGCTTCAGTCTCTAGTATCTTTTCTTAAGTGCTCTTCGCACTTAAGTCTATACAATCAACACTCATTGTTATTGTTTGGACAAGACTGTCCTTACTTGAGCCTGGTGACTTTGGAGACATATGTCTTAGTAGTCACATGACACGTGCTGTAGAGACTGACATCTCTGTGGCCTTGTAGAGGCTATATATGTGACCATCTCAAAGTACAGTTTCATGCACAACTTGTGCCAATACCTCTCCAATCATTCACTATACAAAGCAAAACTCTCCCACACCAAGCATGTGCTACCTTCCCATGCATCGGCCGCCCCAAGTGCTGCATTCTCATGTGCTTTCCCATGCTCAAAGCACCCTACGTCGCATGTCCATCCATTGTCCAAACTAACCTCACTGGTACATTGTAGAGACTCATGCCTCTCATGGTCTGATATAGCACTTTTCCCTAGGGAGTACATGGCATGAACTTGCAGTGTCACTCTGTGTGCTATCCGCAGCTATCCCTATATGAGGCGCAGCTTTTCCATGCACTCTTCCCACACTTGCGATGTATATGCGCATGCGCTTTCCTGTGCTTGAGCACCCTATAGCACCAGCCATTCAGAAGCATCCATCTACTGTCCACCAAGCTCTCTAGTGCGTGTATTTCCATTTTCCTTATTTGCATATTATTCCACCTTTATTTTTATCATGGACCCTTACTTATATATATCTTTACATACCTTACTTGGTAGCGCTTCGGCTCCGCATGACAGTGCTTAGGCACTGTATATAAGCACCAGCAGTACTCACCTTACCTTTCACCTAACTTCTCACTTTACCCAACTTTACCAACCCACTTACTACCTAGAAAGTTGCAGTAGAAATCTATTCCTTTACATCTTGCACTCTTATCTCTTATCTTACATCATATCATTGCTTAAGCTTAGTCTCTCTCATTTCCGCATACCTGTGCGTTGCGCAGCATGCGCACACATTCCCACGCCTTTGTGCCTTGTGCGCACCTGTACTTTCTTGTGCTTCACTTCAGCGCATACTTCTAGATCCTTGCTGTACTCGCTTCCCCTTTAGGGTCAAACACACTTGTCGCCTCAAGTATAGCAGACTAGGCAATGCACAACCTTACAACATTTATAGATACAGTCTGGAGCCTCGTTCATACTTCACTGTTTTGTTGTTTCTACAACGTGTTCATATCATTTTCTTCATATCAGACTATTATATTTAATGATTGCTCAATTCTCATGTCATGGACCCTTAATTGCATACTTACCTACTCACTTCAGCTCTGCTTCAGGGGCACATTTTTAGACATATATATAGGAACCTGTAGTTTATGTTTTAGATCATCGAATCATATAGAAGCTCCCTGCACATCACTATCAGTGTACAGCTCATCTGTCACATGCCATAGTCAGTAGCTATTGGCACTAAGAATATCCTTAATGTCTATTACGAACCTCCCTTATAAACCTACCTCGTGCTTCTCCCATGCTCATGCCATTCAAGCACTCCATACTCATGCTTGCACCTCACATGCTTCACATCGGCCAATGAACAGCACCCTCTGCACCAATTCCTAGATCCTTATTGCACTTGCTTCCCCTTTAGGGTCGAATGCACTTGTCACTACAAGCATAGCAGCTTAGGCAAGCAGACCCAACACATAGTTCAGTATACACCATCTGAATTTTTTTTTTTTTTGGTAGAATGTGTGGCTCAAGGCCACTGGCTTCTGGCAACTGACAAGGTCAATCCAGGTTGGCCCGTTAGGGTGCCGGGAATTACACCCAGCGATACAGGAATTTCAACCTGTCAGGAGGGAACGCATTTATGCAGACCTAGATTTCTAGGTACTGTGGGACTCGACTGACACGCAATACCCACTAAAACCTCCTGGTGGTTTATTGCAGGATTCAAACCTGCGACCCTCTGAACAAGGCTGGCAATGGTACCACTATGCCATGCAGCCCCTACATCTGAATTGTTGTACCTACAGCGTATCTGTGATTGCTGCCAACTAGATGTTGCCAGTCTCACTCACTGTGCCGGTGTAGAGACTCATGCCTCTCATGGCGTGATATGGCAGTTTCCACCAAGGAGTACATAGCATAAACTTGTAGTGTCACTCCGTGCGCTACCCGCAGCTATCCCTATATGAGGCGCAGCTTTCCCGCGCACCCTTCCCATGCTTCGCAATGTATATGTGTGCGCGCGTTCCCGCGCTTGAGCGCCCTATAGCGCCAGCCATCCAGATGCATCCATCCACTGTCCTCCAAGTTCTCTAGTGCATATATTTCCGTTTCTCTCATTTGTATATTGTTCCACCTTATTTTTATCATGGACCCTTACTTATATATATCTTTACATACCTTACTTGGTAGCGCTTCGGCTCCGCATTACAGTGCTTAGGCGCACTATATAAGCGCCAGCAGTACATACTACTCCGGACTTACCTTTTTACCACTGAACTTCACCTCTCACTTTACCTAGCACTTACTACTTAGTAGAACATAGTAGAAATCTATTCCTCTACACTTCGCATCACTCTTCACTTATCTTGCATTATATTATCACTTAAGCTTAGTCTCTCTATCATTTCTGCACGCGCACGCACGCTTTCCCGCGCTTCGCGCTAATACACGCGTGTTCCCGCGCCTCGCTTCAACGTGTACCTCTAGATCTTTGCTGCACTCGCTTCCCCTTTAGGGTCGAACGCACTTGTCTCCTCAGGTAACGCAGACTAGGCAACACGGGACCTTACAATATTTTTTAGATACAGTCAGGAGCATCATTTGTTCCTCACAGTATTGTTGTTTCTACACCGGATCCTTCCAGTTACATCACAAATGTTAGTGGACAACACCCACCTTAGGGCTCCACATAACAGACCTATTTGAGTGTATAACACTTTGTGACTTAGCCTACTTTGCCAGAATTCAACTTTGACATATTCAAAAAAAGTTGTTCAGTCATATAATAATATTAATATACATGTTTTGTTACAGGCTGCACTAAAAAATACAAGATTTACTAGGTGGGTGATGCATGAGAGAGGAAACAAATGTGGGTAAGTTAATTAAGTAAGATTAAGCAAGTTGGGGTTTTCCTGATGTGGATTCCCTGTGCATTGTCAGGATTATATTTGTGATATGTTACATGTACATGTTTGTGATGCTGGTTGTACAAATCTACTAGTTTTTAAACTTTATACCAGTCGCTTACACTGCAGCAGGAGCAGCCTTTTTGAGCATATGAAAGGCATCAGAAAGGCATGAAAAATGGACAAATTTATAATGCCTTTCAGGACAATGGATGTGAACCTTAATTTTATAAAATTTAAGAGCTATTGCATGGCTGAAAATTTTAACTTCTGTGGTGTTACAAGTCCCTACAAGTGTTTTATATTCCTAGACATTTACTACAACCAGTAAGATATAATCAAGAACCAGCTGAATGATGCATGGATGATGGGCTTTTTTGTGCAGTTGCATTATGGTAGCAGGGTAGGATATGTGAGACTAGTAAGGTTTGATTTCACTCAACATGAAATTTTGACATTCGTAACAATCCTTACAACAAAAAATATGTTTTCAAAGACAAACACTGCTGGAGGTCAGAAGGATTCAAAATCTGCAACATATTCTATCTTTTGAATGGATGGATAATGGTTTCAGATTTACAAGGAATTTATCTTATGCAAGATTGCTTTCCAACTGGCAGTCTAATGGAACACAAAATCCTTGAAACTTTTTATTCATATAGGTTAAAATACACATGCAGAAAAGGACTGGCAGAAGGCTTTGAAATATTTGATACTGACAGGTAACTGAAAGGCTGCCTTTAAATGATGTGAATTAAAAAAAATTCCAACTAGTGTCTCGAATAAACAAGCTCTGTAATAAACCTTAACAATTCACGAGATGACCCAGTAGAAATTATTCAGGGACATAATGACCTACATATGTTGTGAGTGAAGCCTCAGACTTTTTATTAGAAAGATACATTAGAAGTATTAAGATTCAAAATGATATCAATTTGTTGGTCTTTTGTATGCAAGCGGATGATCAATCACCACCTTGCAATATCCAAGAATGTCTGCATTGAGTAAAGGCTAGGCTTATTTGAATTCTTATCAGCAGAGTGAAAGGCTAACATATACACTATGTACAAAGCATGCTATTATCTATCCCTAGGATGAGCAATTAAAGGATACAGTATCTATCATTGCAACCTGCTCAAGAAAACAAGAGCCTTTTATTTGCCCTTGCCATTGTCAAAAACTGTTGCTGGTGAAAGGGTAAGAAAAGGCTGAGGACCCCAGATACTTCCTACCAGAAAAACTAACTCAGATCAATGACACTGACTATGTCCTTCATCGTGACCACATCTTCGCATTTTCTTGCTCACTAGCAATAGGATTTAATACTATTGTTCTGCATAAGTAATGGTATTCAACAGAATAAGGCAGTATCCACCCAATTTTTGTTCACTCTAATGGATTTTCATATCTTTGGTTGTGAACTGTTCGATTTGGCTGTGCATCGCACATTCAAGAAAGAAGTCGCTTTTCACACCTCTGTTTATATTGCAAACAAGTCTCAGGTTGGACACCTTGTTGAATGTGCTTGGCGGCAGTGGCCTAATGGTGTGGATGTCCAATGCTGCAACAAACTTGCAAAATATGTAGCAAATCAGCCATGCAAGGGAAAGGATGTGGCAATTTTCCAGTGCCAGGAAAAGACACATCCAAAGGGTGTGACACATGTTCAGTGTATTGAGCCATTGCTCAATGCTGATGGGGTGAGGAAAATTTATGGGAAATGTGGGGACTTCCAGTACATGTTTGAGTTTGTATGACAAGCTCTGTTAAATGTTTGCTGTATTTCAAAGCACAATATCCTGGAGGTGTAATCCCCGACTCCCACATTAGTGTATTCCTATATATGCTGGTACATTGAGCACTGCATGCGGTTTATGAAACTGTACCCAGAGTTTTAGGAATGATGAAAGCAGAAATAACATATTATTTACCAATAAGATCATCTGAATTCCCAGAGTTCCTGCATAATCATATTAGAGATCATGAATTTATGTCAATCCAGTTTAAAGCCTCACCATTGAGTAAGAAGCTCTGATGAATCCAAGTGTTGCACATCGAAGACTGCATGATAAAGGTAACATACACCTTGTTGTATCAATTGAAGGAGGATTCTTTTTGCATCAAGTATAGGTCCTTGGATGAAATATTGGTGATATAATTCTATAACTTGGCAAACAGCCATGCATCGTTCACAATCAGTGGGGAAAAACCACATGACATAGATGGTGAGAGCAATGGCTAGGGTTCTAAGAATGATGTATAGTAAGAGCAACATAGCAGGACTATGAGATGACTTACCTCCTCCTACTATGGGCCATGGCATTATATAGTTCATTCAATATCAAACTTACATAAGATGTTCAAATGTGAGTTATTGGTTAGAATTGTTGGCTGAGGGTGCAGATACGAATAATGTGTCTTCATTTAGACTCCAGCCTGGTTTTAATGCATGATGGATCAAAATTTCTGAAAGGCGGTCAAGAGCATGAGGAGCGTTGATCCGGACATCAAGCATCTCAGACTCAGGGCAAATGATGGTGTGCACCATGAGACCAATAGCATCCTTGGTCAGCAAACATGCAGAAATAGATTTTGATTCTCAAAATTGAGATATCTACCCCACAGCTCATTTGCCATCATGGAACAACAGAATACCTGATTATGGTGTCACTCGTAGGATTGGGATCATTAATGGAGAGGATGGCGGTGTAGAAACAACAATACTGAGAGGAACAAATGATGCTCCTGACTGTATCTGTAAATAGTTGTAAGGTCACGCGTTGCCTAGTCTGCGTTACTTGAGGAGACAAGTGCGTTCGACCCTAAAGGGGAAGCGAGTGCAGCAAAGATCTAGAGGTACGCGCTCAAGCGAAGTGCAAGAAAGTGCAGGTGTGCGTGAGGCGCGGGAACACGCGCGCATATTGGCGCGAAGCGTGGGAAAGTGCGCTGAAGGTACAACAATTCAGATGGTGAGTCTGAACAATGTTGGGTCTTGCAGAACCTAGCTGCTATTCGACCCTAAAGGGTTTCTGGATCAGGCTCAAGACTCAGAGTAGAGGAAATATCATAAAAACTTGCTGAGCACTCAGACTCATACTGATACTGGTGAAAAGATTGCTTGCTTATGTAAGCTACAAAAGTGCCAACATAAGGTAAGGTAAAAACAGTCTCTACAAGCCCAGCCAGAAATAAATCCCTACAGTGCACATGTATGCAGAAATGATAGAGAGACTAGACTTAAGTGATAATATGATGCAAGAGATGTCAGAGTGCGAGATGTAAAGGAATAGAGTTCTACTATGTTCTGCTAAGTAGTAAGTAAGTAGTAACAGGTAATTGGGAGGTAAAGTAAGTGGTAAAAATGGAAAGTAAGTTTTACTATGTACTGCTGGCGCTTATATAGCGTGCCTAAGTGCTGTAATGCGGAGCCGAAGCGCTACCGAGTAGGTATGTAAAGATATATATGAGTGAGAATCCATGATAAAAATAAAGACGGAACAATATGCAAATGAGAGAAATAGAAATATATGCACTAGGGGGCTTGGTGGACAGTGGATGGGTGCTTCTGGATGGCTGGTGCTATAGGGCGCTCAAGCGCGGGAACGCGCGTGCGCATATACATCATGAAGCACGGGAATGGTGCGCGTTGCATGGGAAAGCTGCGCCTCATAGTGGAATACCTGCGGATAGCACACAGAGTGATGCTGCAAGTTTGTGCTATGTACTCCTAGTGTAAAGCACCATATCACACCATGAGAGGCATGATTCTCTACAGCGGTGAACTCATTGAGGGCAATGGGAACAATGGGAACAATGCCAGGTTTTGCCTAGAGGGTGGTGACAATGAGTTCAATGTCTGAGTCAGTGCATTTTCATTGTCGCTTCAGTGGGGTTTCAGCTCATGAGGGAGGCCATTCTAAGAGCTCTATCAAGATGCTCAAACAACACAAAATTCTCAAAGGCTCAACTCTTTCCAATTGAGTCTGTTGACCCAACACAACCACAATGGAGAGATAAGTTATAAAGTAAGCTTTCCGCCACCTCTCTCTGTGGGATGCCCATGCTACTCAGTACTCTCAAACTTCTTTCCACTACAATGTTGTTGCTAGTCAATGCGCTTGGCCTTGGTTGGTGGATGGTTGGCTGGCAAGCAAGTGGGACTACTGCAGTCCACAGCTGGTCAAGCTCTCCTGAGGGTGTTCTGGCCAGTGAAATTTGGGGTATTGACAAAACAGTAGAGAGCTTGTGCCAATCAGTTCAGTCACTCAAGTTTCAAATCAAACAGCATCAACTTCATTGCAATTCCCTTCTGCTGCTCTTCTCTTTACCACTGGAAATCCTCGAGTACATCTTCTTGCTTGTAGTTCCATTTCCTGGACAACGTGAATTATTATTCATCCTGGGACTTGTTTGCAGCTGGTAGCAGGACATTATATATCGCAGTGGAAGACTATGGAGTAACATGCTAGATGTTAATGATGACCGATTTTGGGTAAAAACAATCTTGGAGCAATCTGCCCAAGTTCCTTTTGGTGTCCATGCCCGAATTATGGCACCCTATGATGAAGATGCCACTCATAATTTCATCATGGTTTTATAGGAGCTGCCACATATTGATACCATCGATATTCGAGCTCATTGCCACTTCATTCAATCTTTGGTCCCACATCTCAATCTGCATTTGCCCATCCTCCACACCTTCTCTCTAAGTGCAGTATGTGGATCTTCAATAAATCATCTCATCCTTCCCTTATCGCTGTTTGCTTCATCTTCTCCCAACATCAGGCATTTTGAAGTTTGAAACTGTGATTTCAATGTTGGGATGCTCAAGGGGTGGCATCTGACGCACCTTGTGATCTATGACTTATTGATCATGGCAAGGCTGCTCTGCAATGAGCTTCTCGACACTCTCGAGTGCCTACCTTTTCTCCAGGAGCTCATACTCTCTGGAGTCATTTCCAGTCATTTGACATTGCTCTTGAGGTATGTGCAGGTTCACTTGGTCCACCTGCAGCACTTGCATTTGCAAGGAGACTTTGCTGCCTGCCTCAACTTCCTACCTTGGGTGGTTTTTCCTGCAACAGCGTCACTCAACCTCTTATGGAGTGCTTCAACCAAAATTGCACTCTCATTGATCAACAGCAGTCTTATGAAACAAGCACTCGAGCACCAGCTAAAGGTGTCTGAGTGCCATGTTCTAGAATTCTCTGCACTTGCACATGAGGTTGAATTTCTTTTTAGCTATGACATGTGCACTCAAGTTTTGCGCTTCAAATATGACATCCCCAACTCCACCACCACTCAAACGATACCAGACATTCATGACATTATTGTTGCCCTGTTCAAATTGCCCTTCCCACTTGACAACATTGCTACATGGTTCATAGACATGTCCTCACTCAGCCCTTTGTCGCAGCCAGCCTGGTTCCACATTATGTCTAAGTTCCAAGTCCTTCAGGTGCTGACATGTTATCTGGTACCTCCAGGATTACTTGGTTGCCTTGCTGATAATGCTGCAAGAGCAGTTATGAGAAATGCACCATTACTTTTGCCTCATCTCACAAAAACCACCTTCCAAGGGTGTCTAGTGAGCACTGTTATCACTGGGCCTTAAAATGTCTGCGCAGGAAGATCAAGTGGAAGAGTCTGTAAGATGATGAGAAAACTTGCAAATTTCCAAAGTTCTTCTAACTTTTCCACTTCCTACTTTGATGCAATCTATCTAATCAATTACCTTACATTGCTTCCTCTTTTCTGGCCTCTGAAGTTTTATCAGTATTCATAGCACTACTGTCTCTTAGCAACTTGAACAATGCAATAGCTGATGTAAACACATCTCACAGACCAGTGACACGTGCAAATGAAGCTTTTGTCATGCCTTCATCATGGTGCTATATGTCTGGACGACCTTGATGCGATATGCCACATCAAGCATGATGCATGATGCATGATTGGCAAGCTGCTTGCATTGGAGATATCATCAGCCTACTTTCAAATTCTCCTGTTTCCCTACTCCCACTATCAACTATGTCGCCACTGACAAACACTGTGCTCATTGGCCAAGGTCGGTGGCCTAGCCAACAATCTAGTGTAATCTTAGTAAACTCAACATTGCTGCTCCTTCACCTAAGGACAATGATGCTGCTGTTCTTGAGTGTGCAAATACTATGGCAGTATTAACAAAAGCCAGCGCATGATTGGATGCAAATCCCAGTCAGTGTTTGCTCTGGTATCTTTGCAATGCCTAACAAATCTATTTGCAGAAAAACGGATGACCTCTCTAAATGTGTTCATGATACAGTGAAGGTTCTCCCTGGTTTGGGGGTCTTTTATGCCTTTCGACTGAACCGAATGATGAGCTACACATGCTGTGTGCAGGGCAAGCTGTAACCTACTAATAGGCAAGCTTCAATTTAACCCATGCATGGAGGAAATTACAGTGGTCGCCCCAGAACCCAGGTAAGGATATCTTGACTGCATCCCTTCATCCTCTGTTTACCCTCACACACATACAACTTAAATCCAGTGATCCCAACACTTGCATGCCCACTCTCAGCCTCCTCAACCTACCATAGTCCTTCTAGACTCCACCCCTCCACCATGTGAACACTATCCCAGCATCCGCACGTACCAAAGCTGCATCTCTAGGGCATACCATGATCTGGCTGGCATGCTTTATCAAAGCTCCAAGTATGGGGTCACAGTGTGTTTTCTGAAGGAAGAATGTCCACTTTGTGCACGTGCACTTCACATATGAGCAGGTGCAATGGAGAATGGGCCAGAAGATTGTGAATAGGAAGAAGGGTGGAGACAACTTGGAATTTTTACTGGACTGCAAGCACTTATGTGAAGAAGTCTTATACCTGTTTGCTGTTGAGGTATTTCTCTATCCCATTTCTGCTTCTTTGTATTATAATTTCTTTATTGCAGGATGTTGTGCACAACTCCGCTTTTGCATCATCCCACTTACAGTACATAGTTCTTCATCTGTGGTTGAACCTCTTTGTGTATCACAGGACAGGGTCACCAATGGCTTCAACCATATCACACCATGTAGAGGAGGCGTGCAATATCCTGGGTGGACTCATTCCTAACCCTCCAAATGAAATGAATCCATGTCTGTGAAGAAGCTGATGAGAACTGTGAGACTACATATGATGAACAAGGCCAGAGTGCAAAATCCCACTACACCACATCTGAGTAAATGTTTTCTTTCCAAAAATTGCGAGCTGTATTGGCTGACAAGGTCCCACAAGTAGCTCTCGAGAATGTGTTGAATGTAATTCAAAACATGCCACCAAAGCAGGTTGGTGCTCTAATCAGTGTTCAGATTGCTCCACCTTGAAACAATCATCAGTCAACTTCGTACACTTTATCAGGATCGTTTTCAGAGCTCTGTTGACTAATCAAGCAGAAATGAACAACTGTCTGCTTGAACTTCTAGGTCTGATATTACTGAAGATCAAGCTTCTGGAGTCTCTGCACATGTCGAAGGCACTCTCCTCTCCTAAGTGCGTGTCACGAACATTGGATGAGAAATCAAAATTTTGGTGCCTGGGAAGATGAGATTATGACCCAGAATTGGTTTGTCATCATATTGGTATCCCGTACTTCAATATTAAGTCTCACTCCACACGTCTGCAACTGCAGCATTGCTAAAACAATGCAGAGGTTAGCATTGCTCCCAAGTCACACAGACAATCGAAGTCTGAAACAAAAGCCTCCGCAACAATCTATTGTTGGCCAACATGTCTGTCCGAAATTCTGCAAGTGCTCCCTGCCTGCCTTGTCAACTCCCCTATATTCATCCTTACACTCTCTATCTGCTTACAGCTACTCCATATATCCCGCTCAACCATGGCCAACAAAGTATGCTCGATCATTTAAGCATTCTCTGTTGAGACTGATCTGGGTGCATCTTCAATAATCTCTTCAATAATCCTTTGTGTTAATGTTGCTATTCAGGAAGGTAATGTAGGCTACTCTAGCCTGATACTGATTGTTTAAATGGAGGTTTTGCCAAGGGTCATTCAATGCCATGATGCACACACTCAACTTCAGTGTTGTAGCATCACAAAATTTGAGAGGAGACCACTTTCCCTTTCTACTATCGATTGGAGTCTATATTTTTTATTTGTTTTTAAATTCTAAAGCTCAAATAAGAGGTAATGATCAACTCATAACTTTTGAGCAGTCAAAATGTGGACGCTCCTGATTGAATGTCTTTGTGAGCTGGTACTATGCACCTCGGCACCAGTTTATCTCATCTACAGCATTTTCAAGCAAATACATTGGTTCTTGGTCCTAATTGCATGCACCTCACTCTTAATCCTTGCTATGCCTTATATTACCACTTCGACTTCAATGAAACTCCTTTGGCAAGAGAATCATGATATCTTACTGGTGGCTTATGGGTCTGCTCGTGATAGGGTGGCATCTATGGATCAAGGCTTCACTGTGAGTGGGTGTGACAGGATACCTCGAACATCTAATTTACTATCTTCACAGATGTTCATGACCTCTAGTCCTCTCGAATTTGAGGGACACTTGAAATTGCTCGAGAATCATATAATAAAGTCGCCCTTTTACGACCTCATCACAATGCCAGACTTTGCCCTTTGGAGTGCTGGCGTGCGCATCATTCCTGTGTTTACATCTCCCACATACCATACCTCACCACCCATATCCTGGCTCCAAGGCTTGTTTACATCATGCACACAACCAGAGTGGCGGTTTCCTGAAGTGGCTATCAGCCCTGGTCTTGATGTTGGTAATTATTGGCCAATGAATGGCTCATCTGGAGCTATTGGCATATCACTGGCAAGAGACATCAGCCCTCAGTCAATCACGGTTGAACATGTCCTAAGACATCTGTCCCTGGACAGCCACAGCACACCAAAGCATTTGGAAGTATGGTCGCCGGTTATGGATAGAATGAGCGATGAAACCAAGGGCATGGCTACTGTTAACTTCCCAGATTTTCTGGCACAGTTAGGACATTCTTCCACCGATGCACAACAATGTTTTGTTTTTTTATCAGAAATGATCTATGATGTGTTATCTGTTGATCACATTCAGAATTTTCAACTACAGCAGAAATTATTGTGCATACCTATTATTATCATCGTAGTGAAGAGTAACTGGGGAAACAAGAACTTTACCTGCTTATACTGCATTCACATCCATGGAATTCTGTATCCCAATGGTGTAGCCTTGACTTAGTGATGTCTCTGTACTTGTCTGTAGTTTCTGTACACCTCCATGTGATAGATGGTGGGCCTAATCCTAATGCTTTTAAAATTCTAGCCACAGTTCTCGTGTCTTGCCTGCTCAGCGATCACCGCATCATTGTCAAATCCATGCTTACACCCCTCTTGCACTCTTACCATCATGACTTCGTTCATCAGCTGCTTGCCTGTTTCTATCATCTTCGACATTGATTCAAGTCGTTCTTTTGTATCTACTTCAATTGCTCATGATCTTGGATTATTCAGCACCTGATTCTCAGTTTTCTGAGATTCTTGCGGCTTCCTATGATGGCCGTGCCCCCATGACCGATGTTGATTTTGAGGTTTTGCTCAGTCTTCAATGTGATGCTTCAATTGGGATGAATTGGATTGCTGCATGGTGCACTGTTGGTTGGGTAGACGAGCATCCCATGCATAATCCTCATTCTTGCCGCCCATCTGGATCTCAAGGTGATAGCACTTCACCGCTCAATCTTCTGGTATCTTTCTGACATTTAGCATTTCTAGCAACTTCATGTATATTTGGTGGCAATGCACGCCATTTGCCAGAATCTGCTGTCAGTGGCCCCGTTGATTTTATCTCAGTCTTCATCCCTCACAGGGGCAGTTTTGTCGTCTCATAGATGTTCAGAGTCCATTGTGCATGATAATTTTTTTGCATCGTGCCATTCAGGGGTCCAATTGGGTCCTTTGTCATCCGAAATTGTGTTGCTCAAGCGGGCAATGGATAGAAAATACAGTATTATCCTTGAAGGAACATGATTAATTTTTGCATCATGTCCTACACACAGAACATCACTGAAACATGAATTACTTTATTTCAATGTTTTGACAGGAAAAATGAGGGGAAAATTCTATCTTCTCAGTCAATGTTTTTTGGATGTTTGGTGGAGGAACATGGGAAAATGCCTGCAGTGAGTGGAACCAAGCCCCACACTGGGGCATTCATGAATCTAGAGGTGTGGGGGCCCAGGGCCCAGGGCACAGGGGCCCCCATGACTAAGTAGTACTGTCTTACATAGAGTTACACTCTCAATGACAAAAATTTGGATTTTTTTGTTTTAAAAAAAAGTAAGATAAGGCTGAATAAGGATTTAGTGAAATTACTGATGCAAAATCTGTCCCCAATCTGTCCCTAAATGAGGTTGCAATCACCATGCAAGTGTCAATTGATAGGTCATCATGCAAGAAGGTATTTATGGCATCCAGACAGCATTATCAGTTACATATCTTCCACTATCTCCTGCATGAATCTCTTCTGAATAGTAGCATAGTGCTGCATCTCTACTGCACTAACACTAGGGGCTAGTTCATTCAGAGCACGGATGAAGTCCACCTGAGTAACCGAAATGTGTAAGTCGCCTGATCCGGCTATTTCAGTGAGATAGTACTGAGGTGTCAGTTGATGCTGCCGAAATTCTGACTGTTTGTTGAGTTGTGCTGTTCAGTGTATCGTTAGAATGTCATACATATCATGGGTCCCGACAGACCTATTTTGCTATCCAGCTCAACAACCTTCCTGTTTAGTGCATTTAACATTGCATCAGAGCATAAAGCATAGAAGTCGGCTCCCGTGTAGTGGAACGGGCACTCTTTGGCAATGTCTGCGAGACTAAGATCACGATCGAGCTTGAATTTTCTTGTGAGCGCACGAAGGATATCAAGTTGAGCTTCGTGCGTCTCGCTAACCCCGAGATATAACATTCGGTCAAACCTAAGGAAAGAACATAAGGCTACTTTCATAAGAAAATGTCACGTCAAACCTTCCAGGGCGTAAAAGAGCTGGGTCTAATAGGTCGGGGCGATTGGTAGCTCCGATGACGAAGACGTCGCCTCCACTTCCAGCAGACATACCATCCAGTTCCGCAAGAAGTTGACTTACAATACGGTCCATAACACCACCCGAGTCCCCTTGATTGCCTCGCTTTGGCGCCACAGAGTCGAGTTCATCGAAGAAAATGACGCATGGTTTTGCATCACGCGCACGTTGAAATATTCGTCGAACATTTGCCTCAGACTCTCCAATATACATGTTCAAAAGTTCGGGTCCTTTCACTGAAAAGAAATTCAACGAGCATGAAGTTGCCACTGCTTTTGCGAGCAGCGTTTTTTCCCGTGCCCGGAGGTCCATACAACAAGATTCCTGTGTGGCGCCTAATTCAGCGGCTGGGTAACTAGACTAGCAAATGAGTGCACCTGAACGCTTCTTTAATCCCTCGATGAACAATTCGGGGTGCTCCAATGGAAGTTGGATAGTGTCCAATATTTCGTTCTTTACTCTCGACAGTCCACCAATGTCCTCCCACATGACGGCAGGGATCTTCGGAGCCCCGATGTTTTGAGAGAAAGTTGTCCTCGCCTTCAAAAGTGACAATTCCACCTGATTTGCTCGAATAGCTATCGTACTTAGGGACCGTGTTCGGCAAGTAATTTTGTCACTGCAAACATCGTGATCAGCCAGATTATTAACTCGAGAAGCTCTGACCGCACAGTGACTCTCTGACAGCAATAACCTCCGCTTGTGTCAAAAAATCGGCTATATCAATGGCAACTAGTGCAGCAGTCTGCGTGGCAAAAGAAGCCACTGAAACATCAGAAGCCAGTTTGACATCAATTATGCGATGATATATTATGCTCAATCGTTCTGCCTCAGTCGGAGCCTGTAAGAGGTGCAACGAAGGTTATACAGAGCATCTGTGTGAGCAATCAATAGCGGTCGCACCTTTAGCACGAATTCGTTTGTAAAGCGCGAGAGGAGGATGGCAGGGGCCTTGGATGTGTCACTCGCTGTTGCGATAACGAAAATCTGGCTGCCCATAGATTGCATATGGGCTTCCACATCCACTAGACAATCGTTCAGCGCATGTGACATTGTTGTACCTATGGTATTGGTTAAGAAGATGATGTCATACTAATATCTGCACACCTTTTCCCGGTTCGGAAGCTGTAGTAGACTGGGACAGCGCGTCTAGGTGCCGAATCACGATCGCGCATGGCGCGCATGAAATTGCCATTTCAATTCGAGCTCTTAAGCTGCCTTCTGTATTGGTCTCGTTTTCCGAAACTATCGCAAAACAGTTGATCTATCGATGTGATGAATGAATCCAGTAAAGTATGAGTTCAGTGATTGACCGTACTTCCACAATATGTATTCCAAGGCGTCGGGCTATGGAAGAGGCCATTGTAAACTTCCCAGATCCTCGAGCTCCTGAAATAAGCAGAAGTGGCCAGACACCAAATTCCGCAGCTCCTTTGAATCGAGGCGCGTCCGACAAACGAATCATTGCATCCATTGTGAAAGGTGATTCCCCTGATCTAGCACTAGCGTTCTCTACTCGCTTGTCAATGACACGTCACTCAACCCTCCAAAAGCTAAAGTCCTCACGAAAGGCATTGCAGTTGTGTATGTCTGGTATACCTTTATGTTGTATTCCGAGTTGCACAATCTGAGTGTGCTGGGATTCGATGAAACAACCGTAGTCGCCTCGAGAAAACTGCGGATGGCTGCAATACTCATCAACAGCACTGGTGGGGTCGTAGTCGACTTTGTCCACGACGAAGGACACCACTGCATTACCGCTCGACAGCCTGTGTCAGAATGAGGTAGGCTTCGGATATTTTGTGTAGACCTTAGCTCACCGATGGATCGGGAGCTTGCTATTGTCAAGCTTGTCAGTAAGTTCTGCGTCGTCGGCATCAATAGACACATTAATGAAATCTCCTGGTTTGACCAAGCGTTTACAGGAACCGAAGTAGGATTGTATTTCTTGAAGAAAAAGAGTCTCGAACTTGCGTCCGGTGGAAAACGGAGATGCGATGCGAGAGAGAGTAAGTGCACGAGCCACTGGTATTGCTGGTTGACGGTTACCAAAAGGGCTCGGACGAATCCATACCAGACTAGAAGAGTCTGCATGGATGTTGGAAATCAGCGACGGCGAGGCCTTCACAACACCACTAGAAATCCCTTCAGATTGGAATAAGATCACATATCAAAAACATACGAAGGGACTGATTTGTAATCATGCGCAAACACCTGCACCAATCTTGCCTGGGATGACTTGAGATCGCTCACGATAGCCTGAGACAGCAAGTTTAGCTTCGCGCAAAATAAGACAAACGATGTACCCAGTCTCCATCGAGGATGCCAACCCGACGAAAATCCGATGTTCGCAGGTACAGAGCGACATCATGGTTAAAGGTATCTCCAGTCGCTCGCGAAATTGGCTGAAGACGGAAATAGGCATTCGTTGTGACGGCTGCAACATTCAGTTACGTTAGCAGGACATTCAAACTGACACACACACACTCGCCCTCATAGGGGCCCTTATGTTGAGCCACGGTTGCTGGAAGTGCAGCAGTGATGAGAAAAGACTCGCTGATCTCCAGTGGCTCCGAAGCTATCTCAACATCAGATGGGTATTCACCAACAGCCGATGTGCATCCAGTTTCTGCTCCTTCGTCGCAACAAGCTACCACAAACTGTGTGACATTGCGCTCCACAATCCCTTGAGAGTATGGATAAGTGACATCAATTTTGTAGCGACACGAGCGGGGCGCTGAGGACAACGCTTCAGAAACGTCGCCATTTGAGAGAAATGACGTTCCGGGAAGGTGTAGTTCTTCACCAGTTCGAATGATCGGCGACGACTGGAAAAGCCATTCCTCGAAGGCAAAACTGTGGGACAATGCAAAACTGTATGCATCGGCAGTTTGGGCTGTCAAAACCACTTCGGAGAGAGCGACATCTTCTGCACGAGACACTCGCAGTTTCCGCCGGCCATTGAATGATCCAAAAATATGAGGATATAGGTCTGGCCAGTGAGGTGGAACTGTGATGCACTCGATCTTGTCACAATGAATAGGTGGAACAAAACATGACCAGGTTTAATGGACGCACATCAGGATCCTCGTTCGCCCAACAAGTCAAGCAGTCCAAGTCTTGAGATATTAATAAGGGTGCGATCGAGTCGCCCGAGGATATTAGGACGAGAATGCGTGAATCCTGCGGTGTAGATAAATATGCCCACAATCGGGAGCTCAGGAGCACAGTATTGCTATCAGCCTTGTTTGGAGGATCCTCGAGAGTGAACTCGCCTTCTACGCTGGGCAAGTGACGAAAGAATAAGCTCATTGAATTCAAAGCTTGTCGAAGGAAGTTGCCTTTGCTGGCCAGTGTTCTACAAGTTGGATGTGACAAACACGATGTGCACATGCCAAGCACATATGATACAATGTGCAGCTGTAACTATCCGCTTACATAATCACATTGTTTTTATTCTTCGCACACCATGAGTCGAGGAGCAAGAGGTTTTAGCAGAGGAGGAGGTACGCGTACAATTCTTATTGAGCGACCAATTCAGCTCATTCTTCTAGGACGCGGTGGGGGACGTGGAGGTTTCCAGCAGCGTGATTTTGGTCCTCCAGCTACAGTCGTCGGTAAGATATTCATTATCTTTGCAATTTCGCGTCACCGTTTTCACGGTTTGCAGAAATGGGGACATTCATGCATGCTGTAGAGGATGAGATGTTCTGCTCCTCTCTCATATCAGACAGGGTTCCCTACTTTAACGCTCCCATTTACCTCCAAAACAAATCTGTGATCGGCAAGGTCGACGAGATCCTTGGCCCTATCAATGAAGTTTATTTCTCAGTCAAAATGGGAGAAGGTATGATTGCAAGTAGCTTCAAGCAAGGAGATAAAGTATATATCGGAGGCGATAAATTGCTACCCATCGAGCGATTCCTCCCAAAACCAAAAGTTGCAGGTATGCTCTATTTTATGGGTCTTTCCACTTCTGCGCCTGAGCCTTATTCTCTAGGTGTAACAAGTACGTTTTCTCCTCTCTTATATATGCTTCCGATTCACTGTAGATCATCTTCAGAACGCGGGCGCGGTACCGCAAGGGGCAGTGGGCCGCGGGGACGGGGTGCCCCTGGGGGACGAGGACGGGGAGGACGAGGGACAAGCAGGGGTGGGGTAAGAGGTGGCTTCGGTGGCGACCGGGGCGGTTTTAGAGGAGGTTTCAGAGGAGGAAGTAGTCGTGGTAGCAGTGGAGGTTTTGCACCTCGAGGCGGAAGAGGCGGATTCAGGGGATCATGATAATAGTGCTTTGTATTGTGTTAGTACCAGTGTGCGTCACGTCGTATGTGTGTAGATATCAAGGTTTCAGTGCCTTGACCTCGGTCGAAACAGCAGAAAATCTGTTTGCTCGTTCATACTGCATGGAAATAGACTACAGAGATCATGAAGTACGTTGAATGATGCATTGGAGAAACCCTACCTGAGAAAGCTGAGCTGACATAGTAATAGCATTCACGAAAGTCTCTTCTATCGCAGGATCAAGTTGGCTGCCTATTGGTCGGTTAGATGTGTTCCCCCATCCAACATCTGCACATACCATCTAGATCTGAGAGATATGATTCCTGATTCGCATCGATACTCATGTCAATGTCACCATGCTGAGTGTAAACCCCCTGAATCGTGGCTTCGACTTCGGTGGGACGCGTCCGACGGCGACCTCCAATTTCCCTATCCCACTTCAGTCGCTGATCGGAAAGCGACCAAATATGTCGATCAAGAGCTTCATCAAAAGGCTCCATCCCTACTGGTCATAAGTAAAATTAATTCCTTGTCGAACATGTAGCCCTCACCTTCGTCGTCATCGTATGGTTCTTCGGTGGTGCGTCCGTTGATACGAAGATTTGGTCTAGTTATCGCAAAAAGTGTGTCAAGGAACTAACAAATTTCAGAATATCGTGTTTGAATGTAATATGCTTTACTCACTTGATTTATGTGAGGCAGAAATGATTCCCTGTCTTGGCTGACACCCTGAGATTCAAGTTCCAAGTCCAATCTATCCAGGAAAGCAGTTGATATATTTCGCTGAAGACGTCGCCAGTCCTGTTCAGTCTCCACTGATATTTTAGGTAGATCTTCTCGGGCATCCATTTGCAAGGGAGGAAAGGTGACGATTAATTGTAATAACAAGAAATGCAACGCGTTATTGGTGGTTGTTTGAACAACTGCGTGCCGCAAAGCCATCGGATTCAAACAACCATCTACTGATCGTTATACTTGGATCACACTTCCCATTTACTGTCATGTCCACTTTAACATTTTGGAAGCCAGGAACTGCTGGACCTGGTAGCACACATGACAGGGAAACAGAGGAGGAAGGAAATGTCGTTCAATCTGCACCTTCGCATGGCTTCCTTTCTATACAAGCGCAGCGTGAACGATTGCCCATTTGGCAACACCGTATGTTCACTGTCGTTGTGTTCTAAGCACTACCCAACTCTATTTTTCAGGACAAAAACTTTTGCATTGCATAGAAAAATATGGCGTCACAATCGTTGTCGGACAAACGGGTTCAGGAAAAACAACTCGTGAGCAATCATCAAATTTCATCGATGATCCCAGTTCCATCTCACTACAGGCTGAGAACTACCACAGTATCTCCTAGAATCTGGATGGGCATCAGAAGGTAATATTATTGCCTGCACCCAACCACGACGCGTCGCAGCAACGTCTGTCGCTATCAGAGTCGCAACAGAAGTTGGTACCCTCCTTGGAGATGAGGTATGCCGCCAAGCTGGTGTGCCTCTGCATCGCTCACGAATATTCTCATAGGTTGGATATACTATTCGCTTCGAAGATGTCAGCGACAAAGAGCGAACCCGGATATGTTACATGACTGACGGCATGCTCTTTCGAGAGACACTGATAGATCCTCTCCTTTCGCGCTACAGCGTCATTATGGTTAGTCCTGCATCACTCTTGTCGGCATATGCTCAGTGGGTTTCCAGATTGACGAGGCGCATGAGCGAAGTCTTTACACAGATCTACTGCTTGGTATCTTGAAGAAGTTGGTCAAACTTGCTTTAATCTTTCCCCTTGACTACTCAGATGGCGCAATTTTCAGAATTAGGCGCAAGCGCCCATCGCTTCGGCTGATAGTGTCATCAGCTACTTTGGATGCTAAAGCATTCTTAGAATACTTCACCTCGGGGACACATCCAGACGACGCCACTATTGTCAGTCTGGAAGGGCGTATGTTTCCTGTTGAAGTTGCTTACCTTCAAGAGTCCGCTCCGGACTATGTGAGGAAAGCAGTGGAAGTTGCATGGACCATTAACCTGCAGGTGCGTCCCCTGTCCATTCTTGCCCTTTACCACAACACCTCATATTACGCAGCACGGCGCTGGTGACATTTTGATATTCCTGACGGGACGCGAAGAAATAGAAAGATGCTTAGAGGAACTTACAGAACTTCTTCCTACGTGCGCGTTCTGTCTCCTTATGTATTTCCCCGTGCTCATGAAAACTTTGATGCTCTCTAGACTTCCGCGAGGAGCTATACAGATAATCCCTCTTGCACTGCACGCTGGCTTAAGCACGGAAGAACAGCTTAGGGTATTCAATGTTGCAGAACGAGGGACGCGAAAGGTTATCGCCGCCACAAACATCGCGGAAGTGAGTCGCGCCATTTTTAGTAACTTGGCGTCTTATGATGCAATCAGGCCAGCGTCACCATCGATGGGGTGAAGTTTGTTGTCGACAGTGGGTTCGTAAAGGTAAGTTTCATTACCGTCTTGATCGCGTTCTCATGGGCCCCAGATACGGACATACAATCCAACTACTTTCCTTGCCTCACTGTCTACAGTTCCTGTTTCCAAAGCATCTGCTATACAGAGGACTGGCCGCGCTGGACGGACATCGCCAGGAATTTGCTATCGATTATATCCTGAATCCGCTTTCGCCTCCCTTCCTACGAGCACGCCGCCTGAGATCACCCGCACTGATATGACCACTCCGATTCTGCAATTGAAGTCTCTAGGTATAGATGACCTTATGAAGTTTGAATGGGTCTCTGCACCTCCAGCAGAGAGTATTCTCCGTGCGCTTGAGGGGCTCTTTGCTGCAGGAATGATTGGCGACAATGGCCTCCTTACTCCGATCGGCGAGCGAGTTGCAGAATGCCCCATCGAAGTCAATATAGCTAGAATGGTGCGCTCTCCTACTAGTATCGACTTTTGTTGCACGGCTTGATGTACAGGCAGCTTTTCACTTCGAAGGACTTTAACTGCGGTGAAGAAATTCTTACAATTGCTTCTATGATCTCAATACAAGTGAGTGCCTCATGGGACTGGCGTAACTATCATATTCACCTGTTTACATCATAGGATGCATTTATCATACCTGATGGTGCTCCCGGAGCAATTGCAGAACTGGAGAGACGAAAATTCACAACCGAGGAAGGGGTATGATCCATCCTGATTCGCCTCAATTCAGCAGACTGACAATCTTGGACCAGGACCATCTGACCCTTTTAAATGGTATTTGCTCGTTACACCCAAAAGTTGATTGCTTATGTTCGGTAGCATACAATGCTTTCACTAAATACGGTCGATCTTCATCGTGGTGTAAAGCTCATGCTCTCAACTTCCGCGCCATGTCCAGAGCGGTATCGATTCGGTCCCAGTTGAAGAAATACATGATTCGCTTCAACTTGCCACTCCAGAGCTGCGAAGGCGATGCTAAGCGACTTCGGCAATGTTTGGTCAGTGGGTATTGGCGCAACGGTGCCCGATGGGTTGCAGATGGAACGTACCGGTCGGTGAAGGGAAACAAAGTAAGCAATGCTAAATGTACGATATTCACCTTTGTTCACTCAAGCAGACTCTATATGTTCACCCAACATCTGTGCTCTTCACTCGGAAGCCGCGGACCGGATGGGTGGTCTTCCACGAAGTGGAAGAAACCAAGAGGACACAGTATGTCTACCTACTTGTATGATGGGCCGTAAACTTCATCTTTTGTTAGGATAAGAATACTTTCAGAAATCGAACCAGACTGGTGAGTCGAGTTTCTTCTCTGTGACTCTGTACTCGCTCAACTGGTGAAGGCTACTCGATTACGGTCATAAATACCAACATAGGCATGCTGCAGGTTAATTTGATGTGGACAGTACTTAGTTGTAGTGGCCAGGTCAATGTTATCGTTCTGCTGTTAACGTTGGCATTCGGCAATTTTCGCCTGGAATACCGTGATGTTGTACCTGTATCGTGAGGTAGCATTGAGGGTGCCAAGAGACCTGGAGCTGTAAATACTTATCGATAGAAATATATACATCCGTAAAGCTTGCCGAGCTTCCCCGAGTTGAAAGTCCGAAACGCCATGTGCATGGAAAGTTAAACGCTAATATTTATTACTGAAATCCTTGTCAATCATGGGCGCTGGCCAGTCCAAAGCGGACACAGAAGAAAAGGTCTTTTACAACGAGACGCCCATACAGGTTTGGTCTTCTTCCTATCCTAAAGGCTAGTCTTCTGAAGTTGTGTGCAAATATCAAGTTCTCGCAGGATGTTGTGAACCACCTTTCAGATCGCTCAATATCACCCGACACCTCGCCAGAACGGCAATCCACACTTGATGCCCACGTACGTGCTCGCATACAGGCGGAGCTGCAGCATCTACGAGCGGAAGAGGAAAGTGTGCAGAGGGAAATTGAACTCGCTCTTGAAAGGGAGAACATTGACCGGGAGAAGTCCTCAGCAGGCGGAGAGGTCGCCGAGGGCGATGTCAAGAATAGTATGACATTGATGGGGGATCTTGAAGAGATTCGTACCAAGGTGGACAGATTCCAGACCAGGAGACAGCTCAGCGATTATCCAGCGGTCAAGGAAAGCGGCGAAGCAGTGGTGTTATGCTATAGGTGAGCCTATGTCACTTGTTTATCCTGTCTGGAGATAACTTATTTGTCGCTCCCATAGACAAAATCCTACCGCGCCATTGGACTGCTGGCGAGAAGTGAGGGAGTTTAACGCTAGTGTAGCTCAAGCAGAATCGGTAGGCAAACTAATTCTGACATTCGGTTCTCAACTCACTGTCCTGTATGCACCTGCCAGCAACATCTCGCTTCTCTTAGATAGGTACCGTCAAGAGCCAAGATTCACCACACTTCTATCATGGTCCATGACGTGTTTGTTTCATAGACTAGTAGTGTGTAAATCCTATTTTATGGCTAGTAGTATTGATTCCATAGTCCAAAGGCTTCCCAGCACCAAGCTTTTCATAGTCTATCACGACTCTTCACCCCCATATGCTACTCCAATTGAATCAGCTGTTTGTATCTCCTGCTGCAGGCACAATGACCCAGCACTGATATTTGAGACTCGATGTAATTGGGCAATGTTTGGATCGACATGCGCAGAAGGCCGCAGGCTCGAGCTAGGAACTACTGGCAACTCTGTCTGCTCTTCACCGATGGTGTAGGGGTCGGAGCTATGACCAAGTCTTGAAAGGTGTCTAGTGCCACCTAAAGCTGCTGTTATGACAGCTGCGGGCACGCGCACTTGTTGCTCCTCGTAAGTCTGGGTAGAATACATTGAAGCAGTGCTGATGCTTGATTTATGAGACAACCTGTTGGAAGCCCAGGCAAATGATGACCTGCTTCCACGCGCGAGGCTCTCTTTGAATTGGGCTGAAGGACGTCTCAGAGCGCGAGCTGGATTCCGTGGGGGTTTTATTGGGGGTAGTGGCAACGGTGCAGCCATGCGCAAGGAATGCTGAATGGGAGTTGGAGGAGGTGATATAGCACCCATTGTGTTTGGTGATGAATCTGCAAGACTCTTCTTCGCGTCTGAGCACCCAGTACTGTCGGAACTGCTCGAGGGGCCACCTGCCTCGTTTGATTTGTTTGGAGTGGTTCGGTCATGTCTCCTGAGAACATTTTGCTATTGAGCACGATGAATGACAAAGATATCATAAAGTCAAGAATTACATAGACCATACCCTTCGCGAGCGGCACTTTTTGTCGGAATGTCTGACGATCAATGACCACCATTTCCATCCAACTACCACTGCCACCGCAAGCGCAATCCCCGCGGCAGTACCGCCGACGATTGCTGGGATGGAGATTCTTGTAGCATTTGAGCTAGGCGTTGCTGTGCTAGAATTCGTTGAACTTGTTACCTCGCCAATAAGGCGAATAGCCACGTTAACATTGCCAGTGAGTGGGGGCATGACGAAGGGAACCGAGGATTGCTATCGACTGAGCATACCGTCCTTGTATACGCCGTAGGCAAGGTACCACAAAGGGCTCATCCACGTAAGGTGACGTTCGCGAAGAATAGATGCAAGAACGTGTTAGGCACGAGGTGTATCCATAAGCAGTCGTAACTCCACATATTCGTGATTGTCATTCGAGATCATCCGCGTCAACTTTGACCTACGCAGTAAGAATGCTGATAACACTCTTTGCGCTGTGCCATGTAATGTAGCGTGATCCTGAGTCGAAGACTCTGGTGAAATGGCAGGGCATGGAAAAACGCTCACGACACTTTCAACCAAACAGTATACCGGAGTCGGCAGCCAGTCTAATCTAGTATTTGCAAGGCCTTTGAAGTCGTGTTTTGCGCGCACATCAAACGCTCAGTACTCACTCAGCTGGAGTAGTTGTACCTGGGGAGATAGCACTTGGGAATGACATACTATATTTTTAGTGCGTGGCCGGAACCCGTCAGAACACATACCCATGCCTGTACGGTTCGGTCGCGGCTGCGCTGAAGGCTCACGAAAAACAAGTTATTTATGTAATCTAGAGTCGAAATCAATCAAGTTATTTCGGAAAAGCGGTGAGACGCAAGCCTCCCCAACCCCGCAATAAGTATCGGACTCAACGGGAAGTATGAAAATAACTTCGCGAGTCGGAGTTTGAATTCAGCCGCTGTACAGTCGTGTTGGAGTTGCGTTGGTCACCTTGCTCGTTTGGTGCTAGTGTCTATTCAATTAAATAGACATGCACGTTGTCTCGGCCTGATATCCCTAAGACCTAAATGTTATTCAAAATCACGACACAGTACTACCGCAAGGTGACTACATGGTGTAACGTTTAATTTCGGTCAACCAAAAATAACCAATAGTCCGGAGGGAGCGTACCTGTACCTAAGCTCGGCAACCTGCGTTCATTGAACTATTTGTTCCCTCCCTTCTCGGATGTTGGGATAAGGCGATACACGAGGATAACGCCTAGATACCCGTGAGTACAGCAGATTCAACCGTCAAATATCACAGTGTAATTCATCTATAAGGACAGCTCATTACATGCTCGAACATAGTAGATCACTCTACTAAACTAATTATCGTAGTCCAAGTCTTCAATTAATTATGAGGTTTGTTCTGTATTTTGTTGTTTGGTATAATAATCGGATATTTTTATGATTGCCGCGTTCGGCAATTCGACTTCTTTCTGCCGCCCGGCTTTATTTGCAACAGATCCCACTGCGACTGTGCCCTTCCCCATCTCTCTCCGCCTCATCGATATCGCAGCGTATTACTACTTCCAATTGTTCATCCTCCTACCTCTATTCGTCGTCCTCCCCTCTATTGTCTGTGGAAGTCTCTCCTCGTCCTCCTTACTATTATTTTAACACCTCTACACTTTAATTTCAGTCTAAATTAACCGGCCTTCCCCGGTCGATAAAGAGACGCCGAGTCACCGTTGACGTTGATAACCGTATCGACTTCAAGTGGGAATGCAAGGCACTTCAGAGTTTGTGGACGAGCAATCAAGGGCAGCGTAAGACATTCTATGACGGCAATCTGGTCAATCAAGAATGTTTACCAAGCCTCACTCCAGCTCAAAAGCGCCTATCGTGCGCAATCCAAGAGCATGCACTGTTTGTCGGGCAGCGAAGGTGAGTGGTCGACAGATCAAGAGAAAGAAATCACATCTGAATCCCTGATAGATGAAATGCGTTGGGGCAGAGGATGGTCTCAAGTCTTGTCAAAGGTGCACAAGAACAGGTGTGGAGTAAGTAGTGAATTGTTGCGATAGCCTGCCAAGACGTTAACCCTTTTTCTATAAGATGTGTCTTTGAGAAGCATCGCAGAGGGCGAAAACCTGGATCAAAGTCAGATCGTTTCTCTTGCTTTGCCTATCGCCTCTCACAATGTCCCCAAGGCTATCCGAAGCGTCTAAAATGCTCCGACGCTTAGAGAAAGGATTGAACACAGCGAAACTCAAGCAAAGCGATTCATCATTGTCGACAGTATTCCCTGCCGACCCTCGTACTCCTCAAGCAGATAATACTCAATTTGGCGGACTCCAGTCCTCTGATGCTTATGGTTCCACTGGTAAATTTATTTCGTGCCAAGAGTACAAACTGTAACTCAAACATATCATTATAGACGGATATGCGGCTTCAAGCGTCAGTTCACGTACTGTTGATCCAGAGGAGGAAGAGGACGGGGAAAGGAGTGATGAGAAATTTCCTGCCAAATTAATCAGAAGGGAAAACTCCTTTTTCAGGACTATCCTCAACCCAGAACACAAGTCGCCAATGCTTCATGTGCCTCGAAATCCTTACCTCCCCCAGTCATTGCGCCCGGCGCCTCTCCCGATCGGCTATAACGATCCAATCTCAGCCGGCTTAATCAACGAAAACAAAGCAAAGATCCTCTTTGATGCAATCTTCCTTCGACTGAATCCATTTATAAATCTTTTCGATCCAGCTCTGCATTCTGTTGCCTATGTGCGGTCTAAATGCCCTTTGTTATTTACTACCTTGATAATGGCTGGCTGCAAATTCTTCGAACCAAGCTTATACAAGGAATGCCTGAGGCTTGCTAACGAACTTGCGGTCCGGGCATTCGCAGAAGGTTGGAAACGAGTAGAAGTGATCCAAGCATTTTCATGTCTCACTTATTGGAGAGAACAAGAGGACAACGTGAGTGTGTTTTGGGCTCGTCTCAACTTACTTAAGCTTAATTTCATCGAAGCGGACATGGATGTATATTGGATATGTGAGTGCTTCAGGGTTCATCAATCTCGAATTATTGTCTGATTTTGTTCAGGCGTGTCGGATGGCTGTGGAACTTGGCCTCAACCGATATCATGCAAAACCTCCTGCTCACGAAACAGAGTTCCAGCTTCGTGAAAGGCGAAACCGAGAGAGGACATACCTCGTCCTCTTTGTACATGACCGGAGTCTTAGCATGCAGACAGGTCGGCATTGGATGCTCCCTGAAGTAAATATTTTCTATTTTCCCAAGATATGACGGTTCACACACACTACAGGATGACTTCATAAGGCACTCTGACACCTGGCATGAGCAGGGTGGGACCCCCATTCGATGCGAAGATGTCATCGTTTCTGCTTTCGCACAACTCCGTCGTATAGCGGTGAGACTTTTCTCTCAACACCTGTGTGACAGAATCCAATGGTATTAGACCGAGGCTACAGACATGTTCCACACCAATCGGAGTCTTTCGGACGGTGGAAACAGTCAAGTCAATATCGATATGGTGCTGAAAAACTGCAACGCGAAGCTTGCACTGTGGACCAGTACCTGGGACCATGAGATGAGAAAAGGTGACGAACACGACATCTCATATTCTGATGCATGACCTCATATCTTGCTGATAGCTAACGGAGAGTCTTTCCACTTTTCCTTTACCAATCTCTTTTGCCTCTATTCGAGCCTTTTCTTGAATAGTTTTGGTGTTCAATCCAGTGTCCCACCTGTAAGTCCGCAATTTTGTTTTGACCCATCGTTCCTATACTGTCTCTCTCAGGCAAACCGCACGAATAGTCATGTTCGCGCCTTATCTGCGTGTTTTGAAAATGCATTAAATGTGCTGGGAATCGCATCTAAAGACTTCAGGGAATTTGGTGTTTTGGTAAGTCTTGCTTTAGTGCAATTCCTACTATTTGACACTTTATCTAGCGCTACGGACAAGAGACAACCTCCGTTATGACTGCATACTCTGCCATATTTCTGCTGAAGGTAATAAATGCCCTGCCTCCAAATCTAAGTAAAGTTGATGTGTTGGCCTTAGCTACTCCGGAGCTCTAATACTCACACAGACCTGCAATCAGAATTGCCGGAGGGTGCAGCTCATCAGATTCATACTGCGATCACGAAAACGGCCGATGCATATCAAGAAGCTTCTCACCTTTCGCCCACCTCAACATCAGCTGCCTACCACGCTCGGTTTCTGTGGAGTCTTGTTCGCAATGATATAGAGCGGGCTCGACAAAACGCTCAAAAAGACATCCCCATTGACCCAAACATCCAAAGTAAATCGTCTTCACGCTATGCAATGTATATGTTGACAGTTCATTATTCATTCGTAGGTCCATATACACCGACTGCTCCATGCCCACCTGAGCAATTTGCATGTCCATCATCCTCTTCTTTACTGTCATATTCTGCGTATCCGACGCAGAATTCTGATATGAATGGCCAAAACGCACCTTGTGGAGGACCGAACTATACTGATGCGTTAAGTCGTGGTTCTGGCTCGTATGGCCCTTCAGGTCAATTCTCAGGTTACAACCTCGGGCATGTCTCAGAAACCGACTTTCATTACTACCGCAGTATGTTAGTCGAGCTTGGTTTTGGAGAGAACGGTAACACCGTACCCGCCAACGACGGTTTCCGCAACATTGCCTACGGAGACACATCTACTTCTTATTCCCACCATCCATACGTACACATAGCACCTATCGGCCCAAATGGTTTTGGAACCAGTTGATAGGAGCGTTGCTTGTCTTGCACTTATCTTCATACACGGAATTTTCTGGCAGCGCCTCAGTACAACAGTAGTATTGGTTTATGAATGACTTCATCATGGTTAGTTCTCTAGACATCTCACTCAACACCAATGGGAAAAACAACGACTTCTACACCGTATGCAACCGCAAGCACTGGATTACCCCTCCTAGCCATAAAATCGAAATCCCGGACGCGATGGGGGCGCGGAGCAATGTTAATAACATGAGGCTGTGCATGAACATAATTCATATCGTGAATATGAATAACCGCTCCTTTGGTTGCGCACTGGGACGCAACAGCGAAATAATCCGGACTCGTCGGGCACCACCTTGTAGGCCAATGTGAGGGTCTCGATAGTTAAAAACAATAGAGCCAAAGGCGTACCGGAATTGGTGACCACCTTCAGGAAAACTTATACCTGTTTGTAAAGGTTTTCCACCATGGGACTTGGACAAGTCCCATATGGAGAAGCGGGAGCCGTAAGTTGCCCCTACGCTAAATGACACGTAAAGTCAGCTGGAAGTCGAACTCAGAATCAATTGTGCACCGACATGTCAATGTTATCTTGACGCCAAGCTGCAAATCCCGTCCACTGTGATGAAATACCCATCAATGACTTGGACAGCCCGTGTGGTTCAACGAGCTCGATAACACTGGAATGCCTCCAGCTCCCCTGCTCACTTTGCTCTGGATCAGACCTCCAGTCCGTCAAGAAGATGGAACCTCGGGAGTCTGATACGAGAAATTCTTTGCTGCTGGATTGGTGGCAATTTACAGTAACAAGGGGGTGGGGAAACGAAATCACATATGAAGTTGGTTGAGGACGGGGATGGGGCGACGGCGACGCGTCGGTACCCAGTGACCTCTCTGGAGAAGGGATTCCAGAAGAAATATCCAGTGCTGGATGTAGATCCCAAACCATCAGCATTTTGTCATCTGGGCGCAAGATTTCAGTGTTAGTATCCTCATTACGCAATTTGAACGAGTGATGCACCTGCCACCGTCGCGACATATCTTGCATTGTCTTGATCACGTCCTCCACAAAAGCACATATCATTGACTTTGCCGTGGTGTCCGCTGAGGCCACCACCAAACGCGAACGTGTTCTCGGAAGATGTTGAAGACTTTGTGAGTAGGTGAAGACTGAAGTCTGAAGCAGCAGCAGTAATTCTGAGACAGCGTCAATTTCATACTTTGCAGACAGTGAGGAGTCTAGGATCGCCTTACTCAATAACCCAGTCATCACTTGAACTAGGTGAAACGGATCGAGGTGACCACGCTAGAGCTGTTATGCGTCTCCCAACATGAAAAGACGCTACCCTTTCACTAATGGGTGGGCTCTTAACGAGAAAAAGATATGATCAACTGCCTAGCTCGTACGGCTTGGGAACACACACACCACACGGAAAACTTCCACTGAATGCTCGCCTGCTATAGCCAACAAGTCCGCCCCATCGTCATTAGAGCATGCGCGAACAACAAAGACGTCTGATCCATGATTGATTCTCACTACTCCGCTATCCATGCTCACTGAATGGATTCAAGAGGATCCGCTTTCTGCCAAAGGTTTACAGTACAGCTGGAAATGAAATGTAGTATGAAACAGAAGTTTTATACTGCCAGACCGTCGTGCACGGTGCTGGTCTTGCCGTAATCACTTGCTTATGGGCCTGCGAAGAGGACCCCGGGTGTCCTTCAAAGTACCGGTTCCCGCTAGCAATTCATTCTCATTCAAAGTTCCGCATCCGAAGGGAAGGGGAAGGGCAAAGGCACGTAGCAAGCTTGTTGACGCATTTGCTGCCTTGAACCGCAAGCTCAAGCGCTTAAGGCTGACGGGAGCAGACCCAGTGTTCTACGCGAAGAGCATGGTCCTGTACTACGTATATCAAGGGCTTCCATCAGACTGGAGTTCAGAACGTTCAAGTCACACGGTGCGCTCCGCCTAGATCTAGTTTAATAGGGTCGAGGGCGATGCACCTGTTGGAGCGCAGTACTAAAACCGGCGGACGTGTAGATGAGAATTCGTACGCAACGATCGTCAACCTCATTTCCGTACAATACAAAACTGAGGCCTGAGGAAGCTTGTCTATCGTGCGAGACGCGCTCCGGTGTGACTCGGACAGTAAGTTGTTCCTTCACTTAATAACCAAATACTCCTGAAATTGTAACAACTTTGCTTCACATTAGACGTATACCGAAAATTCTGCACCATCGGCTGGTACTGCTGCACTGCATGCTGCCTTTCCGCCTTTCACAATTGAGAATATGGCTCCATCTGAGCATACAAGGTGGGCCCTTTCATCGACCTCATCCTACTCACTATCAGATGGCGTATGAAGATCAGGCGGGGAAAACTCACAGGTATCCATTCCCATCCTTTGCACCGGATATATTCTATCACAGTGGGACCTGTCCCTTCGTTGGTGATCTTTCCATCGTCACTGTATCTCAAGTTGATGTGGTTCCCATCTTGGTATGCTGCAGTCAGCACAGCGACTGATTTCTCTGCAAAGGCATTTCGAGCTTCTATGGTATCCATGACAAAGGTGGGATCACGGTGAGGTCGAACCATGACAAGGTCTAGTGAGACCTCAGACGAAACAAAGTCGGACGCAAGAGGGGTGATTCTAAAAGCAGGTTCCAAACGATCGACATTGACAGTAGAAAGAAAGTATGCGAATGGACCATGCACATCCACAATTCCATGAGCATCTGAATCCTTGTGAATTACGAAAGCCTTTTGGTCTGGATCGTATATCTCCACAGCCTGAACAGATGGCGTAGGCAACAGCTTGACATGGCTGCTGTACCATTGTGTAATGTTGTTCCTCGCAGCAACTTTGAATCTTTCAATGCCTGGCAGTTCTTTCCTCAGACTCTCGGAGTCATGGAGGATAGAGGCGTGCAAAGCAGTAGAGGTCACTACCGCTGAAACAGCGACCTTGGAACAACTCTGCTTTGAGCTCGGTGGAGCAGATAGGGTCGTGACAGTCAGTGTGAGGGGAACGACATCCGAACCCATGATGAATGCTTCCAGAGACTTCAGCTTGTATGCCGGGCCCTCATTCGCGGAGATTGGCTTGAACAATGAGCAGTAGAGAGCGTTTGCCGTCCCACATGGGACAAGAACTACACGAACTGAGGATGATACAACATTCTTGCGTACGCCCTTTTGTGCCACGAGTGAGAGGGCGTTGATGATTTCGTGCAATGTTCCATCGCCGGAGCCCAATATGACTGTCACGTTGCCCTCATATCGTTCGAGAAAGTCGAACGCTATGGTACCCGCATGTCCAGCGGCTCCTGTTGCCATCTTTTGGGTAACTTGTATATGCGCTTCCTCGAGACGAGGAAAGACATGCTCATTGAAAAAGGTCTCGGCAGTGCCATCTCCACAGACGGGATTATACATCACTAGCACTGGTGGACAAGTCGCCATGATAGTCTGATAAATATGTAGTCAATAACGAATTCCTTTCAATGCCAGTCACAAGCTGGAATTTAGCTCACAAACCTGAAGATGTTATTGATATTGGAGTAGTCTGGCTTTCAGAATCTAACAGGTTAGTAACGACCTGTGTAGAGTCTGATGAGACCGTCTTACGGTACACCGGGCCGAGGCCCGGTAGTGATTGATATAAGATACTAGGAAGCCAGCGACAGACTTAATTAGCTGTGTATGTTTCCGAACCTGCGTTTATCCGGAGCACTGCTGTTATCCCACAATCTCAAGCATTCTGCCTGCCGCACAATGACTTCAGTCGCTCCTCCTGTCTTCAAGCCATTCACCCTCACGCTTATCCAGCTTGGTTCTATCGGCTCTGACAAGGCAGCCAACCTTCACCATGCTCGCGAGATGATCATGAAGGCAGCAAAGAGCAATTCAGACAAGAGGCCTCAAGTTGTTGTATTGCCGGTATGGAATTAATCTTGTTTCACCCAACTCTAACTCATTTTTCAGGAATGTTTCAACTCGCCGTACGGCTTTGTTCACTTCCCTGCGTATGCCGAGAGCATTAGCTACACTGCTGGCAAGGAGTATGATATTCAAGCGAGTGTAAGCGAAAGTGTCAAGATGCTGTCTTCTGCTGCGAAGGAGGCGGGAATCTGGCTCATCGGAGGTCATACCTCGCTCAAATGTGTGGCAAAGGGATAGAAAGTTTATATTTTGTCTAACAGGTTCGATACCCGAGAGAGATGTGGAGACGAACAACATCTACAACACCTGCACTGTGTATTCTCCGACAGGTGTCAAGTTCCCTGAAACTCTTTCCAATCAACACTGATGTACGTGGATGGAGGTGCACTTGTTGCATCACATCGCAAGGTTCACCTATTTGACATCGATATCCCTGGGAAGATAAAATTCAAGGTATACCCTTTACTAGTTCTCGCTTTAGCGTCTTTTCTGGATCTCATCGTACCTACAGGAGAGCGAAACGTTGACAGGAGGAACAACGGCGAACTATTTCGACACTGGTACGAATCTCATTCAACGTGCTTGCACCACATTCGATGAAACTCTCCTAAGAATTTGCACGTATTGGGCTCGGTTTGTGCTACGACGTCAGGTTCCCGGAACTGGCGATGATTGCGGCACGGCGAGGTTCGTGGTTACCTGATTTATACGAAAAACGAAAAACACACAAACTCTTAAGGTTGTCATGCTATGGTTTATCCTGGGGCATTTAACCTCACCACTGGACCTTTGCATTGGGAACTGCTTCAACGAGCTCGGTAGCGCGTTGTCCAACTGTGCTCAATAGTTCCTGACGTAGCCTTCAGGGCCAATGATAACCAGGTTTTCTTTTCCATGTGCAGTCCAGCACGGGATATGACCGCTGGGTACCATTCAGTAAGTGAACCGCTACAGTAATTGTGCGACCAAGAGATTTGAACTATCATGATAGTGGGGGCACTCGATGGTCGTTGACCCATAGTAAGGCATATCCTTCAACGTACACTGATCGCACTAACACAACTATCAGTGGCCGTGTACTTGCGGAGGCTGATGAGAACGAGACGATTCTGCATGTCGATATCGGTGAATTTGACATCATGCTCGTTATTTACAAGTTGCTGATTTAACACGGGATTTAGATCCTGAACCATTCCACGAGGTAAGAGCTGGAATACCAGTTACAAAACAGCGTCGCTTTGATGTCTATCCCGACGTGAGCGCTTGATAAGGTATGAAGAGCATAGGGCAACAATGCTGGCGACGTAGCTATGTAGTCTTTCAATAATCGACAATATCTTTCAAACAAGGGGGATTGTTGAAACATGACTGGTGATTCTTTAACCTTAGTAGAAGAACTTTAGAGGGTCCAGATGTACTACTCATCGAGCTGTGTTTACGAAGCTGTGTGAGCTGATGATAATCTTGGCAAGGTGGCAGTGAAATATGATCGAAAAAGGACCGCTTCCATTTTGAGAGAGGCCGGCACAGCTAGAGAAAATTCTGGTAGGTTCCACAGGATTCTTGAGCGCGGGTGGAATCCTTAGAAAAGTGAACAGCGTCAACTTCTGTGTCAACCACATCGCTGTCTTATTATCCTTCCTCCGCCATGGTCAAAGAAACGTGCGGCTAGTGATATTCAAACCAATTTGTATGCTAACACTCAGTGCAGGAAGTTTTATGATCTCCTGGAAGTCCCAGTAGATGCTTCAGAGCCTGAATTGAAGAAGGCATACAGGAAAAAGTGAGATAAGAATCGTGGCGAGTCTGAACGTTATTGACTCGTTTCGCAGAGCCTTGAGACTACACCCCGACAAAGGTGGTGACCCAGAACTCTTCAAGGAAGTTACACATGCGTATGTCTTACATTACATGTACAGATTTTTGTTGTCTCATTTTGTAGATACGAGATTCTTTCTGACTCCCAAAAGCGTAGTATATATGATGCTCGAGGTGAAGCTGGTCTTTCCGAGCAGGGCGGAATGGGTGGGATGGATCCCCAGGTAAGGCTTTGCTCGACATCGATGGTGGCATCAGACTGATTTGAATCCCTAGGACCTTTTCAGTCAATTGTTCGGCGGCGGCGGATTCTTTGGTGCTGGCGGCGGCGGCAATCGCCAGCAGGCTGCCCGCAAGACTAAGGACCTCGTCCATCGCGTAAACGTGACGCTCGAGGATCTCTATAAGGGCAAGACAACCAAACTTGCTCTTACTCGCAACGCACTTTGCTCTAAGTGCCACGGTCGCGGTGGGAAAGAGGGCGCTGTGCGACCATGTTCTTCATGCAATGGACGTGGCATCAAGGTCACGTTACGCCAGATGGGCCCCATGATCCAGCAGATACAGTCCGCCTGCGAGGAATGTTCGGGTACGGGAGAGATGATCAATATAAAGGATCGCTGCCAGCAATGCAAAGGCAAGAAAGTCATGCCCGAGAAGAAGATTTTGGAAGTGCATATAGACAAGGGTATGAAGGGCGGCCAGACGATTGTGTTCAGCGGAGAAAGTGATCAGTCGCCAAATGCCGACTCAGGAGATGTCGTTATCGTCATAGAAGAGAAACCGCACGACCGCTTCAAACGCCAAGATACCAATCTCATAACAGAACTGGAGATCGATCTACTGACAGCCCTTGGCGGTGGACGAGTTGGGATTCGTCACCTCGACGATCGTGTCCTCATTGTGAACTTTGTTCCTGGTGAGGTTGTCAAGAATGGTAAGCGTTTATGAAGATCGCGGTGGTAAAACATGACGCTAATACTTGTGGCAGATGCTGTCAAGGTCATACGCGGCCAGGGAATGCCCTCTCAGCGACATCATGAGCCAGGAGATTTGTTTGTGAAGTTCACTGTGAATTTCCCCGAACATATCGATCCAGCCGTCATCTCTTTGCTTGAGAGGGCACTACCACCACGAACAGAGATCGAGAAGTTCCCTAAGAATATTCATCTCGAGGAGGTGGATCTGGATGAGCCTGACGCGCGGTCAAAGGCAAATGCTATGTCAGATGAGTCGATGGACGAGGATCATGAAGGAGAGCCGCGTGTTCAATGTGCAAATCAGTGATTAGCGCATGTCCATTAGCATGATTAGCATGATATCTGTTGCGCTAGAGACTCGCATTTGTTACACTCGTTACATTTAATACGCATTTTCATTTCATTAACACTTCTTCACTTCTTGGTTGGCTCTCCGCATTACGGAGGAATGTCCCATCGAATCTGAGTTTGACGGCAGTGAGAAGGAAGGACTTCATGAAGATGAGAGGAGATTGTACTTCGGGATTTTCCTTGAAGGCATTGTAAGCTACACGATTAAAGAAGCTGATCTCTGTCTCGTTTTCTAGCGCGAGACTGTCAACAGATGACCTGTATCCTTACACAAGGACTCACCAATACCAAGTTCAGCTAGGGTGCGGGCGTCATCATCGAAAATCCAGTCGTCGTGGTCCATATTGATGATCAGATTGGTTGTCTGACAGGGGTTTTAGGCCAATACTCAGAATTGTACGACTCGGGGACCATACCTTAGCACCGTGAGCTTTGGTGTACAACTTGAGTGTATCTGTGCCAGAAAATTTGAACATTCTCTTATGAAGGGCAGAGGCCGTGATGCTAACCTAGATGCACGTTCCGATACGGCTTCCATCCTGAACTAGTCTGAACAGCTGCAGGAAGGGATGGAACAAGTTGGGATATGCTAAACAGAGTGGCATACCTCGCCGAGCCATATCCTTGAGCTCGCCAACTGTTGTGATCTCCAGGTTCAACATGTGTAAGACGAGACTGCGTTCCGTGCGGTATTCGAAGGATTTGATTACTCGAAGAGTTATGGTCGCTTGAGTTTTTGGGAGAGCAACGTTTGTGAGCACATCAGAAATTTCATGAGACATCTTGCGAGTATTGGAGGAAGCAGTTCACGGCGTCAGTCAGTCAGTGAAATATGATGTTATGATACGTAGTGACTGCATCAGGCCCAGTCCAACATAATCCAATTATATTAGATCATAATAGCAGTCACCTCCAATGTCCGAGAGTATCCTCAATACAGCACCAGACGACTTTCAATCCCCAAAAGATCCACGAACTCTTACTTCTCTAAATGAAATACTATCATGCTTGTCGTGGTACCAATCTGCTGAAACGGAACTCTCAAACTCCCTGACACAACTTCTCTCAAATCGTCAATCTATTGACAAGTCACTCCAGCAGTTAGAGGTTCTCGTTCCGCGTCTTGATGACCTTCAGATTGAAGCAGCGAACTTCTCAATCAAGGTCTCAGCTACTGCGCAGACAGCAGAACGCGTGGGTGGACGTGTACGTTCGCTTGATGAGGAAATGAGACGCGTTGGAGAGGCTGCTGAGCGGGTCGGACAAGTCATGGAACTGAAAGTATGTCTTCAAATGTCGTCCGTCCACATTTAGATTCAGCCGATGCTGTCACGCAGTCCTCTCTTGCTCAATTACAATCCTGCATCGAAAACCAAGACTGGGAGTCGGCCGCCAGATGTTGTGCGCGCGCCATGTCCTTGCCCTTTACAATCATTTCAGGACCCTTTGCAGAGTCTGTTGTTGTGAGTAACCATCCGAAACATTCCAGACTCCTCTCACCAACCTGAGTAGCCTACAGCTGAGAGTCATTTGCCTCCAGCACAGACCCTGCAGGCTGCACGAGAACAACTTTTATCCATTTTCAAGAGTCACTTCGAAGAGGCATCTCGTGAGCGAGATGCTGCAGCTACGACTCGTTATTTCAAACTCTTTCCTACAATTGGTTGGGAGGCAGAAGGCCTCGAGGCCTATGGATCGTTCGTGGTCGATCTTGTGCGAGTGAGGGCTCCAACGTCAGCCAAAAGTACGCTATAATCAGGCTCGAACAACTTTCACATTCTTACATCTCACTTAGCCTCCTCACCTTTATACTTTGTGACTGCACTTACAGCGCTACTCGAAAGTGTTGCCATGATAGTTGACCACCACCAACCGGTCGTTGACAAATATTATGGGGCAGGTAAGATGACGACCGTCATCAAACGCTTACTCGATGAATGCGACCGTGTTGTGCGGCTTACATTGGACAGCTGGAGAGAAGATAGGTCAATAAAAAGAAAGGTGAAGTATCTAATTTATGTGATCGGATGATGATTTCGAGACTAGTGCCCAGTAGCTTCTAGATGTGGCCAACTCTTCCTTCTCCATCGCACCTACCCGCAAGCAATCATCCCAGGTTTCATCACAAGATGACGATGAATTAGACCCTCGCGAGATCGACAAACTCTTATCTGAAATTGCAGGTATGAGTGGTCGATGGTTCCTGTTCCGCAAGTTTCTTGTGGAGCAACTGCAGGTGAGTACCCTCATCCATGCAAAACACATGCGCTTACAACGCCAAGGATGAAGATGTCGAGGAAGATGCTCAGAGCGGCCGGGTCACTCCCTCCGATCATGAAGGGTATCAGTCACAGATCGACAATAATCTGAACGCTTGGGGCTCTGGCATTCAACCAGATCTACTACAACTTGTGGAATCTACTCGCTCTCATCAAGAGTTCGACGAACTTCTCGCGACTTATTATGTTCCGATGGAGACATGGTATATGCGTATTATCATCGACAAGGTATTTTTTCTCGCACACATCAGAACCTTGAACTGAACTATTTTGGAGGCTCACCGATTATCGTCTCCTGACTTTTCGCAATCGCCCGTCACTACTACAACGCCAGACGATGTATTCTACATTCTCAAGACAGTCTACTCGCGAGTTCTGTCTGCGGGCTCGCTCAAGCATATTGAGCGAATGACTGATCTCTTGAAGGACTTCATGGATCATGATTATGCTGGCGGCATCAAGCGGAAGCTTGATGATGTTTATCGAACGGCGGCGAACACCGGCGGTGGCGGACGTGGGGAGAAATCTGAGCGAGAGTGTCGTACATCGTTCATCGTAAGTACCTTCCCGTCAACTACGATTTTACGCTGACATATTGTGTACAAGATTCTCCTCAATGACCTTGATCTATCTTCTTCGCACATGGAGCGATTGACGAAGGACCTTCTTGGTCACCAAAATATCACTCAACTTTTTCTGGATGCAGAACAATCACACGTGAAAAGGGTAATTTCCAGTTTAACAGGATCTGTAGCTAAATTCCGTTCGACGCTGAAAGTATGTACTTGCTTATTCTCACTGAGGATCACTTTGCTGAACTAGATTTCAGGCAGGCGTGGAGCAGCTTTTTAACCAGCTAATGAGACCCAAGTTGCGCACATTAATTCCAGACGTGTTTAAAGACGTATCATATGTACTCGACGAAGACTCTTATAACGCTGCAGAACAATATGACGTGGTTCGGAAGCGGTTTGTTAAAACGTGGGAGGGATTGGTCGATGGCTACAAGGTCAGCTTTCCGCCACAACATCTGGTGCATATATTGATATTTGTACAGGATGCCTTCACGGATAATAACTATCGCATGTTGTTTGGGCTTGCACTCGATGTCATCGCCCGACCCTGGGAGAAGTATATCTTAACGCTGCATTTCTCTGAGGTAGGCGTTACACTTCTCCGTGATCATCTTGAAGGTAACGTTAGTACAGCTGGGTGCCGTGCGTTTCGACCGTGACCTTCGATCAATAATGGCATATCTCTCGTCTCAAACGATTTTTGGAGACATCCGGGAAAAGTTTGTGCGCTTGCAGCAGATCAGTTCGTTACTGAACCTGGACAATGTGAGTAAATTTCCGAATCGAATGTCATTTCGGTCATCAACCTGCTCTTTAGGAAGAAGACGTGGATGGGTTCTACAGTGGATCAGGCATATCCTGGTCTTTCAGTTTACAGGATGCAAAAAATGTCGTGGCATTGAAGGTATAAATTCACGCGAGGAAAAACAGATATATATTCCGTGATGAGATAGCTAGGCAGTCGATGAGAATGTGTGAAAGCGAAGGGCGGGATGTATGAGTTGAAATTCACCCTCGTCTTAAAGCGTCTAATCTTGCTTGGAGGCTATCTTCATCTGACGGGCCACCCCCTGCCGTGTCATCGCCTTTGGGAGAGCCACTTCCCCCAATCGATTCCCCCAATGCCACCGGTCTGCGTTCTGTCAGTGGTGATGATATTGAACCGAGACCAGTGGGTGCATCCGTGAGCTGCAAACGAAAGTGGATGAATATATATGAGATAGGGATGGCATCATAGTCACCTGCTGAGAAAGATTGACACCTATTTCGTCAAGAACCTCTCGTAATATCTTATCACCTTCTTCCTCTTCATCTTCAGCATCATCCTCCATAACATCATCCACAGCGTCCGACATCATTTCTTCCTTCATATCCATCATCGAGCTTTCCTTTTCAAACTCATTCATGATCTTCTGGATGGCTGGGAGGTTCAATCCCCTGTTCATAGAAGCCATGGCCTGGAAAAGGCGTCAATGAGGATGCGGGTTGAACAAGTGAAGAATCGCAACGTACCCTCGTGGCTCCGCGCATGGCATCTGCCATTTGTTGATTGCTTCTTAGAGTCTGTATCCTCAGTCCAACAGCTTGTAGTTGTGTCCTCATTTGGTAAAACTTCTGGACATAGCGCCGGGTGCGAACGAGGTCCTTCGCCATCACTTTACACGCATTCTACTGAGAACATTGAAATTGATGCACGACGAGGGAAGGAAAGGTACCATTTGGCCAGCTTTGGCACTTTTCTTGATGTCTGCCACAAGCTTCTTTTCGCTCTGCTCAAGCTTTGACCGTTCGCGGTCAAGCTCTCGTTGTGCTTTGTTCAATGCACGCTGATGCTGTCGCAATCGCTCAGCAGGCGTAACTGTCTTTCCAAACAAAGTCTCCTTTGTGAATATTAGCAAATACTAAGCGACAATTGGGACGGAGACCGCACTATGATGTTCATGACAATTTGCGTCCGGGTGGTGGTGAAGAAGTTACAGGATTGCTGCAGCTGGGCGCTTGCTACTCTTGCCTGACGTTAGATGTATCAATTTAATTACGTAATAGTTTTGTTGAATGACGTTACATACACTGCACAGTGATTCCAAGTCATTCGATATAATTGATATCCTATGGAGCCTGATGCAGTCGGACTGCGTTGCGACCTAACGTCCTGCAATGAGGTCGATTTCCTACCAATCAAATGTCACTGTAACAAGGTGTTTTGTAGGTACCACATCTCCCTTGATAAGCACACTTGCGCGTCACTAGATGCCAGTGGGCCTTCCGAGGAACGCGCTCCCATCATGAAACGCCGGAGATGTGCTCTTGGAGATTGCAAGAAACCGAGCCTTGAAAGTGTTATCAGTCAAGAGGTCAATCTCGAAACGAAACCAACTTCATCTGCGGCGTGCACGAAATGCCTTCTGTCATTTTGTATCGAGTATGTTTTCTGGAATCGTTCATACAAGGAGCTCAAACTGGTTAGTCATCGTCATCCAGATTTGCATTCATGTACAGGTCTGCAGAAGCAGGAGTCCGATGAAAAGGAAGATGCTCAAGATATCCTCGCCCGCCATTTTTCCAACCCACCTTCACATACTCCCCTGGCTGTCCGACGCACAGTCAAGCCTCCCACCGACCCCAAGCAATTAGCTCAGATACAGAAAGTTACACTCATGAAGATGCGTCATAGTGCTTCTGCGGGGGACCCTAGGGATAAATCATCCACCGTACCTGTCAATGAACGCTTGCACATCAAAACTCGATTGGAGGTGACTGGAATGCCCGTGCAAGAACGCGTACTTTGGTTCAGAAAGGTAGCATCTATCTTGTTGACAGGCTATGTGGATTATCTCACTTTTGGCTTGTAGTCTGTGGTCACGGGCAGGGCATTGGACCTGATTTCGGCGAATCTTGGGGTTCCTCCCTCGTATCAAACAGTTAGTGAAATTTGCCTCAGAACCAGATCTCGAAAACCTCATCATCCTATTAGCCACTGTGCCTCATAAAGAAATCAGGCTCAGATCCTTTAAGTTGCT